ATAATAAACAATATCTTAAGTCATAAGCTTATGATACTTATATACTATATGTATAGTATATACTTATAAAATTATAATGATTAATATAATATGACCTTATATATTTAATATTAAGATTATTCGTTACTTAAAATTTTTAATTTATGTTTCGATTTTTCAGACCTTATTTTTTTTATATTTCTGGAGTTCCAATTAAAGTCTCTTAGAAGTCTACACATAATTAAATGTCGAATAACAAAATCAGTATGAGGCTCACAGTGTGTACGAAAACTTATAGTTGCCGTTAAATTTTTAATTTTTTGATGTATACATTTAGAAATATTTTTTTTGTGAGGCATTTTTTCAATCATTTTTTTTATAATTTTTTGAGCGTGGAAAATAAACTTTTCAAATAAATCAGTGGGTCTTCTTAAAAATAAATTTGAACTTTGCGAATCATAATTTTTACAAAATATTAAGAACTCTTTTTCATTAAACTGCTCATCGTTAGTTTCTTTTAACATGACATTTTCACATAACCTACACTTAAATTTTTCTACACATTTTTTACCCAAGTAACCTGAAAAATATATATTTGAACATTGTTCTAGTGTTAYGTTAGGTGTACAACCATTATCACTTTCCCCAGTGAATGATGTAGATGACAACGATACACTCGATTCAGAGGAAGCATAATCTGAACTTTCATTAAGTTTTTCAATATTATGTTGGACTGCTTCATCACGGTTATGATTGTTTAATAAATGAGTGTCAACATCTGCTTCACAGTTCGAATGTATAGACGGTTTCATAAGATTTATTTTAACATTCATACGAAATGTCGTCCGAAAMACACGAGCTGTTGGATTTCTAAAAAAGTTACGTTCATATAATTACATAGTACAGAAATTAAATTTATTTRTTAAAAAATGAAAATATTTACCGATTGTATCCTCCTCTTTGTCTAAAAACTGAAAATGTATTTTCAATAACATCAGACGTCAATCGATTTGTCAGAAGGTAAGTATATCCTTGAATTTTTTGTTGGTTATAGAGCATTTTGATTTAATTTATGGTCCACAAGGGCCCACCAAAGCACGGAGGTCTATCGTCTTGCCTACATTTGGTTTTCACTTTTTTTAAGTTTTCGATCCAAGATTTTGTTTTGAGTAAATACTCCAATTCTTGAGGACGCTCTTCGGATATTGCACATTTGTAAGGATTCTTGTCGAATAATGATTTACTATTCAAAACGTCTAATAAATTATTTAACTCTTTAATCATATCAAGTGTATTAGAAGCAGTAGGTATTCGATTTCAGTTGTTTAGACATTATGCAAGTTTCCATAGCGGTGGCCATCAAATTACTAAAGAGCTGCATAGCCAATTTACACGACATTAATTGAAACGGGCCGGGGTTCATATGACTGTCAGTAATTTTTAAAAGAGACCTACTGGTTCCCAGTGGCGGTTATAACTGACTTTTAAGGGGGGGGGCGGAAATTATAAAAATCATAGGACARTAATAAGTCGTTGGAATTTTTCCCCAATATTTTGAAATAATCCAAAATAGGTTCACCTTGTACTTACAATTAAATAAAAAAAAGTATAGTCACAGATGCACAGTTAATCAACCATTTTAATAATAAAAATCTACAATACAAGCATATTATGTCTTTTTTTTTTGTTTAGCAAAACGTGTAATAATATATGTGAGTTTATGAGTATAATATAGCGTTTATTATATTTTTAGATTTATATTAAGAGGACGCTACACCCGCATGTGTTGTCTCCGTCTTACAAGTGCGTAACATTGCAAAAACTGTTTCGCGCGGGAAGGAACCGAGAAAGATATAGTTATAACTTATAACTAAGAAACGAAATTTTCACCACATAAAAAGGAGGATTGTGTCTGTGCAATATCGTTTTTATTTTTTCGATATCCGAACTACAAAAAAGTTATGCATGCTTAAAAAACACAAAATTAATATATTATACAACAATAAGAATTTTTTTTGTATAAATGATATCGAAAAAATAAAAACGATATTACACAGTCAAAATTCTCCTTTTTATGTGTCGAGCATATCGTTTCTTAGTTATAACTGTATCTTTCTCGGTTCTTTACCGCGCGAAACAGTTTTTGCAATGTTACGCACTTGTAAGACGGAGACAACACATACGGGTGTAGCGTCCTCTTAAAATTATCGTAATATCAGAATGGGAAATCTATTACATTATTGAGATTATTCCTAGCAGCCATATATATATATATAAACAATGGCACGCAACTTTCCGAATAACATATTACGTAGGTAGTCGTACATATTATACTATGATAACAAAAATTAATAAAATGTACTATACTAAGTACTACAATTATTTAAAAATATACCGTACTATATTGCGCAATACAACTTTACAAATTGCTGATATTATTTCTATAAATTAGAAACACAAAAAAATAGTACCAAGATTAATACTTCTTTCAATAATTTATTATAAAAAAACACGGACCAGGGGGGGGGGGCGATCCACCTATCGCCCCCCCTTATAACCGCCACTGCTGGTTCCACTATTTTTATCAATTTCATATACGTCTCTAAGATCTTTAAATAACATTACCAATTTTGTTGAAATATAGAATTCTATATAGAATTTTATAGTAAATTAACTATTACAATTAGAATATAAAGTATTAAAGTATATACTCTAGAAATTTTAAGTACCAAAGTACCCACGAATAATATTTTTTAATTACAACGACATAACTAAAATTGTTATTCTTGGTTATTAATATGTAATCATATCCAAATTTGAACTTAAAATAACTATAAAAAAAACTATGTTAATACAGTTTTTAGATTTTTTTCACAGAATTAACGATACTTACGTGGAACCTTGTTTTAAATTTTCAATCTTTAGCTAAAAAAGTTTCTATACAGTTATTTGTATTTAAATAACATAACGTATAGTATAATATTACGTAAGTACGGATCACTATTATACATTATATACGTTTTAAATTTGAATGCAATGATAGMCGATAGGTATCATTGTATACGAAAAACGATTTTGAACGGAGATGACTTAGGCATTATATTAGCAAATAATAAACAACTAATTTTTAAAATTAAATTATTTTACATATTTTTTGGGTAGACAACGATTCATTGTTGTCTACCCTAATGCGCTGCCACTGTCAATACTAATCATATTAAGAGGATGTCAGCGCACCGTTTGTTTTCTCTCTCTAGGCCACGCGCAACATTGACAAAACGCATTAACGTAGAATAATTTTTTTAATGTTTTTGAATAATTTTAGA